CTTCTCCTTGCACTTCGCCTACAAAAATACTAGCAAGAACCCCGTCAGATCCTAACATCAGTTTATCAAGATACTTGGGGGAAACCATTCAAGAGTTCCCTCCTAGTGTTGAGCAGAGACACATACATGAAGCCATAAAAGAGGAGGAAGAGGTGAAGGTCGTCAGCGAGGATACCTTGGTCTTCATCGATAAGACGATTGAAGGATACGCAAGTGAGGTAACGGTACACAACTGGTCCGACGGTACGAGTGGATTAACCAGTGCCATTAGCCATAGCACTGTCGTTTGAATAATAATGAAATTATATATTAAATATATCATTATAAATGCACACAGAAATTATAAATAATGCTACCTTATTAATAGTTGTATAATTTTTGTAAATTTTTTATTAATCCTATTATTATTATCATTTTATTATTAAGATGTGTATGTCGTAAAATAGCAATAACAATAACAATAAAGTAAATAACAATATAAACAATATAAACAACACTACAGAGAATAAATAATAAATAAACTGTCTGTAATAACTTTTATAAAAAGCTATAAAAACTAACTTTTCAACAACAACAAATTAATGAGGTAAGCCAACGATCGGTTTGCTAGTGATGCAAAAATAGCAAATAAAATTGCATTCGTGAGCAATTAAAATTTTGTACCATTACCATGTTAAAATGAAATCAAGAACATGAGAGAAAATGACATTAAAATAAGTATTACGTCTTGACTGGTTTCAAAGGTCTATTAGGTTTTTCCTTCACTCTCTGAGCTAACCATTCAATCCCTTCAAACACGCCTTCACTAAAGGGGCGGGGTCAATATTTAAGCCACACCTACTAATAACGTACCCTCTTAGAGCTGAGACTCTTTGTATACGACAGTCTCTGTTACCGATTGATTCAACACTCGTATCAAAAGCACTCTCCACTTCTGTCAATGGAAGAGCATCCTGTTTTATAAGATAATATTATTTTATAATAATAATAATAATAATAATAATAATAATAATAATAATAATAATAATAATAATAATCAGACATAGGGTCAAACACTTAGTGCTTGTACTTAAGTACAAATAAGCACAGCTTTCTAAGTACTTAGTGCTGCTTGCAAGTACCTTTTCAATATAATCTATGTGCTTTGTACTTGTACTTGATTACTTTTACAAATTTACAAAAGTGCTTTTTTAAAGCACAGCAAAAATTACACACGAATAGTGTACATGTACATGTACATCTACATCTACATCTACATCTACATCTACATCTACATGGTACATCTACATGTACGTGTACATATAGATGTACACATACCACTACATGTACATCTACATCTACATCTACATCTACATCTACATCTACATCTACATGGTACATCTACATGTACGTGTACATATAGATGTACACATACCACTACATGTACATGTACATGTACATGTAGTATGCAAGTTTAGTAGCACATTGTGTGATCGTATGTTAGCTTGAAGAATGGTAATGGCATCACCATTAGTGGTATCACTCCAAAGCTCTCTGC